AAAAAGCACACGAGGCCCAGTGCTATTGACTAAGATCCGTAATGATGGCCCAGATCTGTCCTCGATCAACGTGATCCGTGGGCTTGGGACCGGGCAATCTCATTCAGCTATTCCCGGCGGTGAACAATCGGGCTTTCGGGGGTGAAACATGCGGAGGCATGGCTCGAGACGGGGATATCAATTCGCTTGTTGGAAAGGGAGACAAGGGAACTTGGCGGACGCGACGCTGTGCCGCTGGCTGGGCCATGTGCATCACCTGAGACCGCATGGCCAAGCTGCACGTGGTTAATAGTTGAATCCCGCATCTGGTCCACTGCAATCTCGGGTAGGAAAAGAGCTTACAGTGCATCGGTCCATCTTTGTACAAGATCATCAAATGGGCGGCCGCTGTCTCAGGCTTTCGGGGTTCTTGTACCCGTAAAGTTTCAATCTCTCTCAGAAGTCTCGGCCCAAACAGGCTGTTGATATCACTCGCGTCATTCTGCTTGGTTTGAGTATCGTAGAAGGCGATGAAAGGGGTGGTGGTGATGGCGCCGGGGCCAACATCCAACGGCCAATAATCCCCGCTCGCGTGCTGCTTGTGTTACACTGATGGAACCCGATTAAGACTGACATCTTGCAAACATGCATGCAAGTATCAGCTCGGTACACCATTTACAGAAGCTGACGGTAGATGGATGGGCACCACGAGCCAGACCTGAATATTGGTTTCCAGCGGTCAGAGCGGCTGGAGATTTTGTTTCCTTTGCCAACTGCGGCCGAAGGTGTTTCTGCGCCCCTTACGGATCCAGGTTGTGTAGGTCGCGAAGGATCCTGGCCCTTCTGGGGCGCGGTATCAGATGAGTTGAGATCTCAGCCTGATCTGGCTGTTCCTACTACAATGATAGACACCCTTGCTCATTTCTGATTTTTCCTGGGCTTTCAACGTTCGACGAACACCAGACACAGGCAAGTTGAAGAAATCATGCCATACGAAAAGGCTGAAGGATTGCCCCCAATGTGACCTCGGACTTTGGACGACAGGCTTCACAAACAAGCACCCTTGTCCCAAGCACCAACAACAGGTGTCGAAAATCGGGTCCATCACAGAGAGGAATGCAGTGCAAGGGATACATCACACAGATCAATCTTCAAGCCTGCCTTGATCACCCCGCTACTGGGACCAGGTCATTAGGGAAGGGCCCCCAAGAGCTTAGTCGACGCTGAAACGACCTGGACCGTTGGTGTCGGAACCCCAGCTTTAAGCCAGGTTTCCCAGATTTTATTTCGGCGACTCCGTTCCCTCGTTCTCTTGCGCTCTCGGCATGGAGTTGACTGCTCCAAGTAACGTCACTGCCTTGCTAGCCCCCGCGGACCATTCTTTGCGCCGGACCCGCGCAAGGTTGCTGATGCCTACAACCCGAATCGAAACGCCCTCGATGCCCACGAGATCCCCGAACAAAAGTGATAAGATGATGGAACGGTCGATTGCAAGGGCACGCCTGTGTTCAAATGAGATATGCATGGGGCGGTCTGACGGGGGGACGAGCAGGCAGTCAAGTTTCCAGCACCGCTCGTCGGTCGGTGAGGAGCACTGCCTCTACATCGCCTGCCAACTGGTCTTGTTCCACACGAAGCAGGGCACCAGTATCAACTCCTTGACTTACGTCCGTATTTGAGAAGATCGCCGTACAAGCTGCTGCTACTCATAGTCTGCCTCGCCGACCTCAAACAATGTTTTGACCTTTCACAAGTGAAGCTGCTGGACTTACATCGCCGGCCTAGCCTACCTACACAGCCAGGCTACCGTTTAGCACCCAGCATCGTCATTCTATCCCGACCTTCATCGTGGGCACACCCCAGCAGACCAGGGTTTCCATGGAGCTGATTTCCAGACGCACGACCCGGCTACCAGGAACCCAAGCACGAATGCACACCGGCGGCTAGGATTCCCGGCTGGGCCCCTGATTGAAACTACACCATATCCACACGATGCCAGATGTAATCCGGCCTTGCTTTTTGACCTGTCATCAACGTCGCTTCGTTTACCGTACTTTGAATTGAGGCAACAGGTAGATCGGTAGGCTGAGCAGGCTATGGGGTCAGAGCTTTCTTCATCAGGTAGAATCATTTCACCTTTAGCACTGCGTATATATATCGTTGAATTGTGAAGACATTCTAGAGGGTGTTGAACTCATTATCCTCAAACCTATTCCATCTGTATCAAGAAACCGTTTATACCACACTACCCCAAAGCTTCACTGCCACAAATCGAATTCACTTTCATCAAATCACAATGAGCTCAAGGCAAACTCAGACCGTTCATGACAATGACGTTCAAGCTTATGCTGGGAGGTGAGGCTGATGTGATCTTCATCTATTTACCGAGACTAAAGTTTGCAGTTGGTGCGGAACGCAACAGGAACAAAATGCCAGAACCCATCAATCCGGTCAATACGACAGAAATACCGCTGCTTTCGTTAACGATCGGAAGCGTGAGGAGGAGAATCGCCAAAGGCTTCATGACAGAGAAGGCAGGCGTGCCCATAAGAACGATCTGAAAGACAAGATTGATGGCTTGCTGTTGCCAATGAAAGCAAGCTCCCACAAGGACACGTCTAGTCGGAACAATGACGAGTGACGAGTCCAAAAAGAAGAAGAACAGGTGATATGAGTTGATTGGTTGGAAGCTGGAGAAAACTTTCTCTGAAGCCTTGGTCTCACTGTACCCAGGTTTTCTATCTGGTTGCAGTCATTCACCTCAGTGGCGCATGTATTCTACGTATGGCCTCTTTGATTTAAGCCGGGCTGGCTGTCTCTTGTTGGTGTTTTTCTGGGGAATTGTCTTTGGATTTTGCTGCCTTCGGATTTCTGGATTTCTGGATTTCTGTACTGATATCGTGTTTGGTTCAGTTTGTATGTGTATCATTAGCAATGTTCTCATTAAATTTATCTCGTATCTCACTGATGGCAATCAATACTAAGATCATGAAACTGAACTGCAACAGCTATTTCTGTTTTCATCTTGGCGAAACTCTTCATAACGACGTCTAGCTGTATAATTGCCTGCCCGCTCAAAGGTTGCTGGTTTTGTGGAACTTCCAAAAGTGTCTATGAATACGTATGATTGTATGTTCACTTGCATCAGGGATATAATGCTTGGTCCCATGTGGGTTCAACATTATCTATATTTTTCAAAAGGGCAATCGACCGAACGACATAGTGCTAAAAGACAATTCCATGCGGTTGAAGTTGAGGCGGCACTGCCTGGACCCGAGATTAATGAAATACTACTGTAGGCGCCGGGTAGCGGAGGTAACCCTACATCAAAAGAGCGCAGGTCGATCATCTTAAGAACGCCATTCCCGATCTTAGAGTCTTTTCTTTTGTTTCAAGGCAGATTCAACTTCGCGCGCTGCCTCAGGATAATTCCGGGTGAGACCCGAGCAAATATTTCGCTAACAACTGACTCGCCTGGCAACACGTAGATCACCATACGATTGATGCCCGTTACAAGAGCCTCCTGAACAATGATGACGTTGTTCTCGTCGTTTGTGTTCATCTTTAGGAGCTCTTCATGTATATCTCAAGAGCCTCGATCTCATCAACAGAAGCTTGGTCATAAAAGCTTCGCCTAACTTGCGGGATACTGCTGCCACCAGTAATAGGGTCAGTCGGCGATTTGGTCAAGGCTGTGAGCAACCAGAAGAACATTGTATGTTCTTCCGCTACAATACGCGGGAATAATGGCCTGAAACCTGACAACTTCGTTCTAATCATCAACTTGGAGATCGAGTAGCCAAGTTGTCTCCAAGCCCGCCTTGGTGTATGTTCGAGTAAGAGTCCCTAGCACGGGCGGACCAATAGTCGACAGCTATGCCTTAAAGGGAGAGCCTGCGTTGACGTTTATAACATGAATTTTCATGTACAGCGGCACGCCCTCTTAATCTAGGTTCCCTCACGATAGAGCGGGTCATGTCCCTGGTAACGTTAGGTAGTAAGGGTTGTAGGTAGTATGGGGGCCAGATCACAAGACTGGTTCCCGGCAGACAGCGCGATATATTAGATTTCAAAAGTGATTTCCTTCACGTTGGATTTATGAGACGCTTTTGTGCCCTTGTACAGATCGTGGCCAATCGCGCCTCACTTGCGTATGCCAGTCGCCAGGGCGTGACGTTATCGAGCTTGTGCACCAAAGATTCCACATTTCTCCAGAGACAAGCTGCAGGGGTTGACCATAGCGGAACCTGGTGGTTTTTTATGAAGAGAAAAGAATATATCAGTTGTGCCGATGGAAGCGGCGAATTTGATGCTGATTATTCCACGGTCTATGCCTTCGGTTGAAAATGACCTGACATACCTGATTGATCCTACGCAGATTGATACGCCCAGGTGCTTCAATAAAATATTAAGAATCCAAATGGGAAAATATTATGAATCCGATTGCGCGGCTGTCGCGGCTCTTTGCCAGGATTGGGTTCCATATACATCAAGGAGCAGCGCGGAACTCGGGTTCGCTGACATTGACCCGAGATGTTCGGACGCAACTTGACCCACGGAAAACCAGGGTTTGAATTGGATGGCTCATGCCACCCGCTTTTTATGAATCATGCCGGCAATTTGTAAATGCCAGGACGTCGCATTCGCAATGGAAGATATCCCATTTGCGAGGGCCCCTCTCAGCGCGGAGGTCTCCTGTAGTACGGTGTTTGCAGCGTGTGTGGTCATTGGGAGAACGCAGCTCGCGTCTGTACACAGATCCGCTACTCATCGGGCTGATTTTGACATGATAATAACGCACGTGTTCCTCACTCCCTAGCGACTTATTTAAATGATGAAGATGCCCATGGAAAAGCATCGATTACATGAGTCTTGAGAACTTTTAGTTGGCCTACATGGCATCTTATAGGCCAACACTTTAAGATAGCTTCCTTATAGCCTCCTCATTGAAAGCTCTTGCCTCGGTTTCCCATGATTCCATGCCGCAACTTCCCGATGGGTCTGGGTACCTCACAACCAACTTAAACGTACTCCGCACAGATAACATCTCCGCCGATATCCATCACGTCGCCTACAGTGACGTTGGGAAGCATCTCATACAGGGACAGAACATGGGTCAAAGTTGTGACATTGGCAGGGTCGCCGCTGTAGTCCGTGAAGTTGGCGCCCGGCGCTTCCCAGTTGTTCTGGAGGTTGAATGAGTCGGACGGGGTGTTCTGGCCACTGATATCTGTGAGTCGGGCGGTCAAATTCATTGACTGCCACTCCCACCAGAGACGATCCAGGTTGTTGTGGTGCAAGAAGAAAATGGGGTCTCCAGGGGATAAGACAGGATCTTGCATCTATGGAGCAAGTTAGCAATGCCAAGACCATGGGTAACGATGTCCAAGAAAGTACTCACAACGCCACCGGTACCTGCATGGCCAGCTGAGTGGGGAGCCTGTCCTAGGCAATCCCAGTAGTCCTCGTAAACTTCTGCCTCGTTGCACTCATCTACACTGGATTGGCTTGCCAGCTGAAAGATAGATTCGCTGATAGAACGATTCAAGTAGTATGTTGCAGCCTTGGGGATGACAGTGTTGAAGGAGTACGCTCCGACGTGGAATTCCGTGTAAGCGAAAGGACCATCCGTCACGACATTGCTCTCGGAAGAATTGCCATCACCGCCAACGCCGTAAACTAAGTCCCACACATCAGACTGAGTGACGTTATCTGCGTCGACTTGCAAGTCCCAGTAAGGCATTCCACCGGTGTAGTTGCAGTAGGTCTGCAAGAGATACTCATGCAGCTTCACGTAGTAGCGGTGCCAAGGCAGAAATTGTCCCTTTTTCCAGTCAGATTGATAATGTATGCAACACCATCTTCAAGAGACCTACCACTCCATGAATGTAGTTTGACATGGTCAAATGCAAATATTGCTGCTCGTCCCAGAGAGTTGTGGCAGCATCGAACAGTCCAAACACGGCATCATGAGTCGTGAGACACTTCTCAGCATCAACCCAGGCCAATTTTTCTTCGTTTGAAAGAGATGTAAAGTTCTTGCGCTGAACAGGAGAATCGCAAGTGGCTGCGGTAACGACTGTACCAAACGCCAAGAAGACTAGCCGGGATATGACAGGGGTCTTCATAGTGCAGTGAACGAATGACTTGGAGAACGGAGATACTCAAACAAAACAGCACAAACGCGATAGTGACAGTGTAAAGATGAGTGAAACAAGTGATGAGGGCATTTCGATGTGGGAAAAATGGCTTTTTTTATGGTTCGCATCAAAAGGTTTTATCACCATTCAGAGGCCCCAAGATGCTATTCAGAAATTGGGATGCTCTGCAATGCCCCCTGGTGCGGGAGTTGGTTTCCACATCCCGTTCACGACACGCGTTCAGCCAAGACTAGACTTCGTCAGCGCTGCCCCTTTAACGAACACGCATATTCGTTCTGGATTCATCCTACATCCATGTTTCTTGCGTACGTCTATTTTGAGTCATCGTGATCTCGGCCGAGATGAGTTATCGAGGCGTCTCGTCCTTGTAACAGTAGCCAATATTCAGATAATCAAGCAAATTGACATGGAGAACTCAGGAGAGGAAAAAGTAATTTGTATGATTTGCCGGTCGAATCCACCTATCGCAAAATACTCTGTTGCAAGATTTCTCACTAAAATATGACGGCCATCACTAGATATCCCTCAAGCTATGGTAAGTAATAGCCAGTTCTACCCAACGAGAAGCGAGGACTAGACTCTCCCTCAGCCTCATCCATCTTGCGCTAAGGAGCGCGTCTCCGCAGGACGCGCAGTCCGCGTTTCAAGCCGTTGAAAAATAAAGTAAGAAATGCCCAGTTCGAATTTTCTAAAAATGGAGGTGATCGACAATGAGGGCGGTCGTGATATCCTTGCTCACGGCACTTCCGCTGATGCTTGTGGGGGGTTGCCGCCTGGTTCTCCGCGACTCTGCTCTGCTCGAGTCTGGAGCACCAATTCAAGCATCCACTCATTTGTGGATTTTTAGAGGTCTGTGAAAGATACTCGCATATGTGAACGAGCGAGCGCACATATCAATTGCTGTAACATCTACTGTGTCTAGCTCTATGTTTCCGGCTTTGCTTTGAAGCTCCACCAGCATATCATTAGATAGCTTGGGTGATGCCGTTATTGAGCACGCACGCTGCCCGGTTCGTCAGGTACTCCTGTGCATCAGAAATAAATGAAATACCTGCTATTTAACATTTCGCTCTGGGCAAGATATCCAGTGTTCTTTCCGACGTAGAAATTTGTCAAGCATGTCGAGTTTAGTCGTCACCCGCGAGAGTGGAGGTTGACCCTGCAAAGACCATTCAATATCCAATCCCTTTGAGTCTCATTGCGACGCTGCCCCTCCACGCACGCGCCAAGGCCGCATCCCGCCCGGCTTGGCAACGGTTATTTTCGAGTTGTGGAGGCATGGAACCCATGTTTTTCTGGCTGTGCAATTGTCTTTGAAAATGATATGGCTCGTAGCCGGACGGTTACACATATCTCTGATTCCTTGCGAGTGGGAGCACGGCGAACGGAGGTAGTCTGCTTTCACTTGGACATCCTGTTTTCTGTGAAATGAAAAGTTTGCGGAGGCTAAGAATCGTCTTGCGGTAAGCTTGCTCCCCAAGTTTTGCTCAGTTAGTGTGAGAGAAGGCACAAACAGGGCTTCCATACCTTTTAGAAGGGATGTCTCTTGAAGACGATTCAATCATAGACGCAGAGAACGAGGTGATCTACTGACATTTTCGAGACGGCTGCAAACAGCATCTATTCCTTTGCAGAGTACGTCATACTCGAGACAACATTCAGAATGGTGCATTTTCTGAGAAAGCATTAGGTGTCAACAATCCCCCTGCGCAAGAAATATGGATCGACTCGCAGATAACTGAAGATCAGTGTGTAGGTAAATAATCCCAACTAGGACGACATCAATGGATGTCCGTGATTGGAATGTTTTGTAAATCCCTAGACTAACTTTATTTTCCCTCACAAATGCTCAGCGTTCCACCTCGCAGCCTTCGCGTAAGTCAATTATTATGAAAGCTAGCTGGCTTGGCTGGATGTGTACTGCCAGCTTCGAGAGGATGATACATCTCAGAGAGTGAGAACTAGCCAGGCTCGGACAAGGGCGAAGTCAAGGGCTGAGACAGGTCGTCCCAAACTCGTGCGTTGAGCCTGCTAATCGAGGAGGGAACCACATTTACCCCTCACATGGCTTCGGTGAGGATTGTGTTGATCCGCAAGGGCTTTAGTCGTACAACAAGGTACGGGCCGCGAGGAAGCTACAACTCCGTGTGTAGTGAAACTTCGGCGTTCAAGGCCTGGATTACTTCGATGTGCTTCTTGGCCCAAGTCATTGACTCCCCACGGCATGTAGAGGAGACCTTATCCCACTCGTCCGAAAACTTCTATCGTCATCGCTGTATCTGTGGCTTGTAGTGAGATTCGTCCCGGCGCTTTTCACGCCAGAGATCCTGCACCAAAATCAATACAGCGCATCAGTATCGCCCTTGTGAAAAAGTCCGAAGATATCACCCAATGTTTCCAGCTTCGATACCAGAGCATGATTCGATGTTTGAGAATTGCCGCGTTCTGGATTTGGCTATCTGAGACCATGGCGCTGTGGTGGCCAGCTGAAAACCCACATCTGGCCGTTTAGCATCAGCTAGAAATGTGACAGGCACATAGGCTTCCCCGCAACCTTTCAGCTTCGTTTACATTCACCATCTGCAAACATTTTCCAGTCTCAAGATTGCCGCTTCGAGAAATTTGAGGGGGCGGCAAATGTTTAGCATCGACATCACGACGATTTTGCCTTGACATGTACGTGAAAAGACCTTTTGTCACCGGCGATGGAGGGTATAAAGCACCCGGCATGGCCGCAGAACCTGGTACACTCAAGCTTCTGCATCTTCCAAGCGATTGAAGTCCGTACAACATCTATTCTCTCATCCCAAGATGCGGTATTCCTCATTTATCGTACTACAAGCGGCCCTCGCCACCTCGGCGAGCGCCTTAACTTGCAACCCTCTCCAGTTGGACTGGGGAACCTGGAAGGCTGCTCCAGAATCCACTGATGTGAGTTCATGGACTCATCTCGGTTCCAGATTGCAAACTAACTACTCAGTCGCTTTGTGTTTACAAAGATGTTCGGTTTGCGTCTAGTCCTACTGGGGACCTCCGCTTTGCGGCTCCGGAATACCCTCCTGACGCCAAATCCGGGAAGTCGTCTGTCGATAGTCCTGTCTGTGTAGCCATGACGGAAACGAAGTGTGTCAAGAATCCATCGAAGTCAGATTCTTGCTTCCCCCATACGTTCGGTAACCCGACCGAGGACTGCCTGTTTCTCGACATATATGTCCCCAAAGAAGCGACTCTATCACAGCAAAAAGTCCCCGTGATCGTTTGGTTTTACGGGGGTGCATTTGTTTTTGGGTCTAAGACGCAGTATCAGAAGCCCGGAAAACTCAATTTCTATGGCGGTAACGGCATTGTCAGCCCATCGGTGAGCGATAGTCCCGTTATATTCGTTGTGCCGTAAGTATTCACTCCCCTTTCTACCGCTAACTCCGTCAACGAGACTCATCTCTGTTCAGAAACTATCGCTTGGGTGCCTTCGGCTGGCTTTCCGGCACATACATGGAAGAACATGCGCAGCCCAATGCTGGCTTACTGGATCAGAGAGCGGCTTTGCAATTCGTTCAGGACTCAATTGGCCAGCTCAATGGCGATAAGACTCAGGTCTCTGTCTGGGGCGAGTCTGCGGGAGCTTCTTCCATTCTTCACCACATGGTCGTACCACAGGAATCCTATCCACCCCTTTTCCAGAAGGCTCTTCTGCAAAGCCCGGCATATCAGTTCCTCTGGGACCGTAAGGGTGTCCTGAACGATACGTTTACACGCTTCGCCGAGGCTGTGGCTGCAAAGACACCGAATTGCCAGGCTGCGAACATTGACTGCCTCCGCAGCGCCGACTTCGCCGTCCTGACTAAGGTCAATCAAGACCTATTCAATGAGGTGGCATGTGAGGGTATCTTCCCCGTCGGCCCTGCAGTTGACAACAAGTTGATCCTCGACATTCCCACAAACCTCTTCCAAGACGCTAAGAATGGTAAGCCTTACATTAGCTATATTGGAGACGGGTTTTCTCTCTGACTTTGTTCCAGTCATTCCTCTCGACTCCGTTCTCGTTTCCCACGTCGATCAGGAGATTCCGAAGTCTAGTTCATCGGCAGGCTTCAGTTTCATTCCACTTCCTATCCGACAGCATCCGACCGATCCATCAAAATTTGACGACTTCCTCGATGAATTTCTGTCTGGAGACTCCTACGCCGGCATCAGGAGCTCTATCCAGGCGCAATATCCGTCTGCCAACTACGACGATCAGGTCGACAGAGCCCGGCATGTTATCATGGATTCGAGCTTTTTGTGTAACACTCGTGTTGTTATTGACGGGTATCTCTCTCAGAAGAAGCAGGTTTGGGCTTTTGATTACGTCTTCCTCCAAAAGTATGGGCGCGCAAATCACGCCTCGGATCTGGTACCGACATTCTCATCAAGCGATATCAACTATTTTGATCTTTTCGACTGCCTCATCAAGGTTTGGGCAATTAAAGGTCTCATCGCCAAGATAATTAGTAGCTTCGTGTCCAACACGCTTGGACCGGGTATGATTTCTTACTTTGTCTCGTTCTCAGTCACAGGTAATCCCAACAAGACCCCTCATTCGCAGACTACCTGGCAACCGGCTCAGATCATTGACGGCAAGGTCAATAATGTGATTCAAGCTCGAGGAGAATTGAATCCGTTTTCTCCAATTATTGATGAGCAGAATACCGACCAAATCTGCGGTTTCTGGAAGCAGGTTGCGGCGGACATCACCACAGCCTATGACAATAGCGGTGTTTCTGATATTGAAATTGCTCCCAAGATGGAGGAACAGGCAACTTTTGAGGAGCTTTGAGAGGTCACAACACGGAAGGGAGTCTCGAGGCGCTATCATCATATCAATAGCTATGCCGTGTATCCAGGCGCAGGCACCCGATGACGGCAGGTGAAAGAAGGTGTAGGTGATATGGACAAGTTCCGTTCATTGAAGAAAAAAGCCTAGGTCCAAGAAAACTTTCCACTCGGTATCAACGTAATTGACACGCGCGTCAAAACCTTGCTCTCCGCTCGAACTTCAAGCCCAGCGTTGTGTGTATTTTGTGTCATCAATCGGACTAAAGCAGGAAGGTCCAATCACACGTCTTCGGGTTGTGGATAGCACGCGTCGGCTCTGATCCCGTCTCTTTGAAGAGTCTCATAGAAAACCAGTGTTCGGGAAGAGGGGCCATGATAAAGTTGAACGATTTGAGCCAATGTCTCGCCCAAAAAGCACGAAAACCAAATTTCGGCCATCGTGTACTTTTCAACGAAAATCCCACAGTGTTCATGCGACGCAATGCGAAGAATGACGCCATACAGCGGCCTTCGGAAGCCCACGTCAGTTCGCAGAAAAAGCAATATGTGTGCTGCGGGGTGGCAGGCTGGCTGCAGCATCCACAGCACCTCAGAGGTGTGGGATCCCACACAACAGACGCAGCCTGGTCTCTCAATCTTCAGGGGGACCATCGTACACGTGCCTCCGCAGAGTCGCTTAGCATTAAAACAAGCAGAATGTTGCTCATGTTTGCGCCAAGTAATCGGTAATCGGTCGGAGCAAACAATTGTGCTCTTCCAAGGCTCTCCGGTTCAAATCTCCGCGACGAGACACACTCGCTCATCCACACCCAATTTGCCTGGCGATAAGCCCAAGCACCAAGGTGAGCAGGGTGGCTGGGGGCCGCAATCCTTCCTGCAGCTGGATCTCGAGAGGGGTAAGCTCCGTCCAAGACTCCAAGACATGGCCTTCCAGCCACGAATGTCCCCCCTCTTTGCCTGGGGAAGTCGAGTCAACCTCGTCGACGTGTCCCGACTCCCTCGAGACAACCCTTCTCTCCTTCATCTTCTCATGTTTCTCGTCCCACGACGGCACTGCACCTCTCGCATCCGGCGCTGCACACTGCAATAATGGTCACACGCCTTGTTTCATGACGATGCTCTGCCTCCACTCCCAATGCGCGGTACTTTTCAGCAAAGCATAAAGAAACCGTACCGTCCGCTTCGGCCAGACTCTTCGTAAACGAAGAATTTGCCACCGTCTCCCGGCGTAGGCTACTCGTCAGGCATTCACCGCTCTCCGTTGACCGTGCCACACTGCCTCTCCGAGGGCCGAGTCCGGCTACCGTCCCGTGGCTCAGCTTCGTCAGCCTCGATAGGCACATTCGGGGGCCATGGCGGTGCTTACGCCCCCAAGGCGCAGACCTGACGGCGTTTCTTCCGTCTCGCCTCTTGTTTCTTGCCCTTTCAATCCAGATGACTAAGAGCAGTCCCTCTGGCGTGGTCGGCCACTGCCTGCGGATGACAACTCACTGGAAGCTAGCCCAGCTACAGTCTAGGCACGGACAGGCAACCGTTGCGGCCCATTCGTCGATGCGTATGGCGAACCACGCTCAGCTTCTTGTCGTCTAGTTGCTGACCGATGACTGGGGGCTTCCCTGGTCCCTCTGCCAGACAAGTGTCGGGCAAGGTTGTCGGCTGCTTGACCTTGGCTATTCGAATGCGGGACAGCTAGTGGCTTGACTCGACGCGCAGCAGGGCGGGGCGCTTAAGTTCGTTGAAGGTTCGGTGCGCAGACGCGCGTGTCGTTCTTGCGCAGAGGTACTTCAAGGCGTACGTCCATGGACCATCCCCGTCTCGCCCTGAAAGTGGAAGAACTGCGCCTACTGACTGGCCCAAGCCTCTCTGGACAAGTGTTAGTGCCTACCTACCCTCTGTTGCCGGTGGGTGCCTGAAGAGTCCTACGCTATGACTCCTGAACCTGAGGTTGTTGTCCCGTTTCTCCTTTTTGACTCAAGTGACGGAGTTCAGTTGTCTAGCATAAAATCCGCTCCTCTCGTCGTCTCCGAAGTCCCCGACCGCACACGCTCAACATCTTTTGCTGCGTAACGAGAAGCATATGGATAACGATCGTGCCTCCAAAAGGTCATCCAAGTCAAACCGAGACAGCAACAATATGAGACCTGAGAAGGATCACAAGAGCCGTTCTGGCTCGTCGGGCGACAAGCACCACCACAAGAGCTCGAGGCCCAAACAGCAGACCGCCCAAACGGCCGACCGTGACGAGGCCGGCTATGAATCTCAGTACTCCAACCCTGGCAGTTGGAACCCCAGTGGGTGGGTTGCCCATACCTAATACTTGAAGGATAAAGAGTTGTACTGACCAACCGCAGTTTGACAGACGAGCAGCACCGCAAGAAGGCAAGAGAGAGAGAGGAGAGAAGACAGTATGCCATTCAGCATCCTGGCGTGGCATACCCAAAGAACGGGCATCGCAGCAGCCATCCTGGGAAGCAGTTGGCAGACGTCGAACACCTGACTAGCCGTGGCGGTGGCTACCAAGGCCAGGCACAACAGCCGTACTACCCCCAGCAACTCGACATAGATGGCGACGACGGAAATGTCGCTTCATCCAACAGCTATGCAGCTAGCTCATCATACTACGATCACCGCACCGGTACTTGGTATCGCAACTAGCGGACCTTCGTTGCTTGTGGTCAAATGATGCACTGTTTCGTCCTTTATGGTAGGTTGCCATGACGAATGCCTTCATCTTGCCAACGCTAACAATGGCTTGACAGATTTTGAAACTTCCGTTGGTCAGAAACATCTTTCGAGAGTCCACGATCCGATACGCACCTTTTGTATGAGTTCTCGCATGTCATTTGGCTGCATTAGACCGGCGATGGCAAAACATTCCTTATAGACGCCTGTCCCCAGGGACACTTATACCCAATCAAACTCCCAAAAAGATGTATATTCAACTTCTGGAGCATGATAGATCCTGTGTAAAAAAGAACGGATAAGAAGAACGAGTGGAACAAAGGAAGAGACGGTTGAGGAAAAGGGGAAACTGACTTTATATGCCTTGCGAATTAATGCTTCGGGATTATGTTTCATACCTTATGGTTCGGGTTATGTTTTTTCTTTTGTTAGTCCATCCGCATTGCAATATATTGTCGTTCGCCTGGAGAAGGCTTTGGCCCCTGTCACAGCTGTGTTGTTGACTTATATATGATCGCCTTGCACAAGGCGTAGGCCACGGAGGCAATAACGGACCACACGTCGTCGAGTCAACCCATGAGGCGTCGCGTCCATCATTCGTCCATTGACCAACAGTGTTGTTTGATAGTCAGGCTAGCATGCTGGGATGACTGGCGTATATCATGCAGCCTAAGAGGTACGCGTCGTCCTATCGTCTGGCCGAGGCAGCTTACACAGAGCCTATCGTGGAATGCCAGACGCCCCTCACACAGCAAAGCCTCAACTTAAGACTTGCTTTTCGAATTTGCCTCTTACACAGCATCGGCCCTTATCGCCAAATGCGACCATGCAGGCCGACCGTGCCTGCCGGCGTCGAGACTGGCCGAACTACATTTTTGCCGTGGTCGAGGCCGACTCCGAGAGGCGGTGCTGGTGGCGGCTTGCGGATCATTGGAGTCCAGGTTCCGGAGGGTGCTGAAGATCGCCGGCGGTGCACTGCAATCAATCCTGGGCTCAGTGCATTGGACCCTGATTTCTGCAGTGGTGTTGACGGGCATCGGTTGTGTGATTGGCCTGGCCGCTTATGTTGAGTGGATGTCCAGCCTGTTGGGATGTCTCGGCAATGCGCGAAGGTGGGATGCATGCGTCGGGAGACCTCCAAAACGAAGACATCGCCAGATGAAAACCTAGAATGAAGTCAAAGGAGAAAATAAATCTCCATCCAACGGGGAAAAGGGGACGAAGAAAAAAAGGGATGTAGTTGAAATTGGGGGTCCGAGAGCGACAAGGCATCGGGATGGCCCGGCCGGAAACTCTATTTGCAGCAATCCGCAAACGAACAAATGATGCTAACGGCTGAACCGGAAAACTTGGAGCTGCACCCTCTTGGAAAACGCCACCTGGCCTTCTTCAATCGAGAAGACTGATATCCCATGGGACTTCCTGAAGAATGGGGACGGGGTTCTTATGAATCCCATCAAGCTGACGAATCGTTCAAGTCATGCCACCACGTTATCCTTGGGGCGCAGCTTAGGAGGGATACGCCAACCACTTCACCATGGATCCGAAGCATGATCCGCACCACTGCGCCTGTTCCTATACAAATAGGCAACCGGTTAAAACCCAATTACGTCAATGACTGACGACTGTTATTCACAACCATCTTCGTTGGTACTGCTGAACTTGGTGAAGGAGTAAACCAGGTTAGCGAGGCCGCTGGTCATTCCGGCGAGTGACTCAAATGTGGCAGGCAGCACAATCACGGTCCTTCCTTCCACGACATCCCAGCCATCGCGGTCCTTAAATAGAAATCGTATTTCAACCAGGAACAATTCTGAATCATCACGAAGAAAACTTCTTCCTTCAATCAAGTCAAAAGAGAATCTTCCGGCAGATTCAGCCGCATGACATAATTCGTCAGACTTGCACCGGCCGCCCCGACGCCCTAGACATTGCGATCTTACATACTTGCCCCAGCGAGTCAGCGCCCGACTTACACCAATCACCCACTCGGGGTTTAGCAACTGCACGAAGACACCGAAGTGCCGGAGACGGACTCGAGTTATTTTACGACCCAGCACATCCGAATGGCCTCACCAAAGCCCATCGAGATTGATGGCAGGACAGGTGAAGGCGGCGGCCAGCTTGTCCGAGTCGCCATAGCTCTGGCCGCTGTAACCTCACAACCTGTCAAGATCACCAACGTCCGGGGCAACAGACCTTCCCGTTCAGGCGGCAGAGGCGGTGGTAAGTGCTTTCCCAACTTCCCCATTCACTCCTTCGTTGAGGGAAAGCACTGCCCCGAAAAGGCAACCCAAAGTCCCTCGGCTTACGTCTCCCTTCAGGTCTGAAAGCGCAGCACGTCACCGCGATAAGATGGCTGGCTGAAGCCACCGAGGCCGACGTGGAGGGCCTGGAGGTCGGGAGCAGCACCCTCGTCTTCACCCCACGGATCCCGCTAGCCGGTGCCTTGGATGGGAAGAGCAGATGGATCAAGATCGCCGCTGACACGGGCGCTGCCAGCACCTTGCTGATCCTCCAGGCAATCCTTCCCTTCCTCCTCTACGCCGCGGACGGCGAGGATGAGCCGACCCCCGTGGAGCTTGAAATAACAGGCGGAACAAACGTGGGCATGTCATTAAGCTACGAATACCTCGACCAAGTCCTCCTCCCCAGGCTCCAAGACGTCTTCGGCATCGCCATCGAAAGGAATCTCAAGAAACGCGGCTGGAGTCTTGGACCACAGAGTAGAGGCTCAATATGCCTAACAATCCATCCCATCAGGCGGGGCCAGAGACTACAACCACTCATGCCATCACCAGAGCACGACTTTGAAGTCCGCCATGTAGACGTCTCCATGGTCGTCCCCTCGCACATGCACTCAGACCTCCAAAACACCCTCACAAAAGACATCACAGCCCATGTCCCCACAGCAGAGGTGGCCTTCAAGATCGTCGAGGACTCGGGCCACGACGCGCGCATCTACGTGCTGCTCGTCGCCCGCTCCGCCACGGGGCTCCGCTGGGGCCGCGACATACTCATGTCCACGCCGAAGAAGGGGAAGCAAAAAGAAAGCGTCGCGTCGCTGGTCTCGCGGAGAGTAGTCAGAGACCTGGCCAAGGAGCTTTCTGTCAAGGGTTCAGTCTGCGACGAGTTCCTTCATGACCAGCTCGTCATCTTCCAGGCGCTCGCCGAGGGCCGCACGTCGTTCTCGCGAAGCCCCGTGGCGGAGGACGCCGACGCGGAGACGTTACAGCAGAACGTGGCGGAGCTGGATCTTGGAGAGAGAATGAGGCGGGATAGAACTGAGAAACCTTTCGGGCAGGGAAGCATGCATTCGCAGACGGCGAGGTGGGTTGCTTCTGAGATCCTGCCAGGGTTGAAGTGGTACAACAAAGGCGAGATATGCGAAGGTGTTGGAACGAGCTTCAGTTGAAGAACTGCCTAATCAGAAAACGCCGTTGCCTATACCCATCAAGATTACAATAAATTCGAATCGTCCTTCCCCAACTCCTGGCCTTTTGAACCGTGACATACGCGGATTCGCGTTCCGCACTGAAACCCCGCCAAGTGGCTCTCAGCCACGCCCTTACGCGGCATCCTCAACTGGTCGAATCGACCACTGTCCTTCCCGAATCTCAGCGGGTCCGCACTTCCACGAGCACCCTCTTCTCAAAAACGGCACCGCACCATCATTCTCCTCGAGAAGATCGGTCCATGGCCGCGACCGAAGGAAGTGGTCGCCTTCCCTTTGTCTGCTCTCGACCAAGCAGACCTGCCACCACTCCAGCCACTGGACGGTCGGCGCCACGAACGGCTTCTTGCAAGCGCAACACGTCTGGCCACCGACCTCTTTCTGATCGGCGGCACGCTCCAGCAGGCCCTGAAGCTTAGGCATCTCGGGGATGTAGTCGGGCAACTCCTCGAGGTTCGAGATCTTGTAGGCGCTGCGAAGAGCCAGCTCCATCAAACTCGGCACGCGGCTTCCCTGCGTGCTCATCACGCTCCTGCCTGCTGACTTGGAATGATACGGAGCCGACGAGGGAGGTGTGACGAGGGAGGCGCCACCACCCTCCGGCCTGTCAATCGGCACCATCACCGCCTCGGGGTCGAGGCGGAAGTCTGAGTGCGAGAATCCTGAGGTGTCCAGGTAGTGGACCGGAGACCGCGCGAAGAATCTGCCAGCGGTGCCGCTGAATCCTTCTCGCCAGGCTTCCAGCAAACTCTTGCCCTCAGGATCTTCAGCGGTAAGGTTGTCCATGTCACTAAGACGGGGAAGATCAGCGTTCTGGAAGAAATGGTTGCCTTGGAGGAGAAGCTCCACGAGAGACGAGGGCGCAGCCATCAGGTCAAGCAGCTCGGCAGGCAAGTATCTGAGCAGGTTCTGGGCCAGGTTGAGAGTCTTGAGCTTGCGCATCTTGCCAATCGCCGGAGGCAGCTCTCTTAGCCTGCATCCGCGAAGAGACAACACCGTCAGATGCTCCAGGTCGAAGATGGCACCAGGAAGTCTTTGCAGAGGATTACGATAGAGGTAGAGTTCCAAAGAAGGATCTTTGTGTTCAAAAGGCACTCCTTCGGCGACAACGGGGATGCAAGAGAACTCAGACAATATCCGAACAGTCGCGTCAGAAAGCGACTTGAGGCCCATCATTCTGCCAAAGGTTAGCAAGGCATCGCGTGCCGTTCGGTCGCCAAACATGACTCACGAGAGATCAATCTTTTCCTCCCCTGCATCCACGAATCTCTGAATCTTCTCCCGCGCCTCCACGTCTTCCGAAGGAACCACATTGCGACGGACCGGTGCGGGAGCCGTGTTCAGCTGAGGCAACCGCGCCTGCGTCGGCAGCTCGGGCATCATTGTGTCGTCCCCGTCGGTGCTGTCGCTTCCCATCCAAACACCAGAATCCATGTCGCGCTTGAACGCCCTCTTGCCCCTCAACGCCGGCCGCAGCTCTCCCGTGGCCGAGTCGGATGATGCAGCAGGCTGCTGTTGGTACCATGATCCGATGTACCGCTTCTTGCGTCTCCCCTCGACGTAGTTGTCCAGGCCCGGGTCGTCATCGCTGGAGAAGACGGCTGGATCGCTTGAATTGGACCATGACGGCGGCGCGGCAGAATGGCTCTTCAGGTCGTACCTGCGCTTCTTTGGGTTATTGGGTTTGCTGCTGAAACGCTCCGTTTGCGCGTTCCAACTAAGGGAGGGTGGGAGACTCGGGAGACTAGGTTCGTCGGACATCTCGAAGAATGGGAAAGAGAAAGGTTAGGAGGAAGTGGACAGAAACGAAATTGTGCGCAAGGAGACGTCCATGTGAAGCTTACCCCCAGCGCAGCGCCCGCCCGCCACCGGCAGGAGTGGAACACGGCCAGGCGCGTCGTGACGCAAGTGGGGGCTCAACGCGTTCGGCGGCCGGGATTAGGTTCCACAGGAGACTGCGATCACACGATCTCCGACCCAAGCTCCGAGCAGCTCCAAACTTGCCGAGGAGGCGCCTGTCGCAATTTGGTTATTGAGGTTGAACTGCTCAGCATTCAATCGATGTGCTCTTTGAAGCCTCAACGCTTGTTTACATCTGCGGCAGCCTGATCAACACGCTACCGCGCGTCCTGACTTGACCGGAGCTCTCCGGATACGGTTAGCGGGGTACTCTGTATCGAATCGAAGAACATGGACAGTGAACAACCCTGAACCCCCACATGCATCTTCAAGGGTCCATCCGCTACAACACGCGGGGCACCAAATGCATGACACGATGCCAGCAACCAGCTCTGTCCCTGGCCTTTTTCAAAGTTGAGCAACGCTGTCCAACTTGATTTGCAGTATGGCTGCCTAGATAATAGACTTGGTGTTCTGGTATGTGCAGACTTTGGAGGTCGTGCGACCAACATCTGGCTCTTGTAGATCTTTGCAATCGATCTAAGCGGGGTCCGTATCGCAGAACAACCCATAAGGCTCAGGCAGATGAGCTCTACGGTAGACACGTTGGCGATATATATATCCCCTGTGTAACTATCATTCAGCGCTTTCGGCTGTCCGACATGCGCTAGATGTGGCACGTACATGATGCTGTTTCATGGCATCGACGTGCAGCAGTCCCGAGTTGGGCCGCGGCTAGGTCACCGTCATGCCAGAATTCCCTCAGTCCCAATCCTCGTCGTCAGAGTCGCCTTTTGACTTTGATACGGTGCCTTGTCGAATACCCTTGTTGCCCATCGCCCTCTCCTCCTCGTCGTCTTCAGCCTGTCTGCGGCGTTTGACAACGCGCATGTCTGAGTCCTTGACTGCGCCAACCTCGACCAGGAGGTTGTCGATCTGGAGCATGTTTATTTTGACTCCTCCGTGCTGCACCAGCGTGACAATCTGCTTCACAATATCACCGTCCTTGTACACCAGAATCGTCGGGCAGTTGCGCTCGGGGTAGTTCTCAATGGCCTTGTCCGCGCGCATCTCGCAGAACTTAATGTCGCCGTATTCCCTGGCCGCTTGCCTCCACAGCTCGGTCAGCACTCTGGACTCGACGTTCGTGCCGAGCGAAGATGTCAGGTTGACAAAGACGGGTCCGTTCTTAGACGCATCTGTGACTTCGCGCTGGTACTCGGGCTTCGAGATCGGGTAGACGGTGCCGTGGAGAGCTTTTTTCGTGAGCGCATTCAGCTCTTGCATCCTCTTCTGACGGTATTGCTCCAAGAACGCCTCGTCCTCGTCGTCCTCAAGCTCGTCAAGCTCATCCAGATCTTTGCCCTCCAGCCTGTTCTCGTGCGCCAATCGTCGACCCTCGAGGATCGCTTCCTCGATCATGGGTGTCGGGCTTGGGGGCTTCTCGGGGATGACTCCATGTTTGCGGAGGATATCGTTCCTGGCGCAAATGTGTCAGGGTTTCGTCGCGGGGCTCTCAAGGAAGAATGGCAACGTACCACTCGGTGTCTGCGTTGGGATCATCGATGGGTACGGCGATTCTTTGGTCTCCGGGGGCGGCCATTGTGACGTATGTGCAGACGCAGTAGAGGTTGAAGGGAAGAGATGGGAAGAAGTCAGGCAATGGTGGGTTGGAAGAGGTAGACGAGCGACAGAGCGCAAAGTGAGGTTTCGACCGATTGTATCAATGATAAGTGACTTAGGCACCTGCGTCAAATGTTCGGAGCCTGAAGTACCCAACCTTGGCGCAATGACACACTCGGGTAAGGAATTGCATCGAAGCCAGTAACCCCGCTACCTCACCTTACCCCAAGCTCCAGCTTAGGTAAGGCAGCATGGGCCAAGATTTCGGAGGTCGCGCTGCCTTCGGAGGATCCGTCACGTGCTGGGGCTGCCTAACCCTCCTCGCTAGTCCAAAAGCGGCGGAGGCCCATGCGTCTCGCCGCCCAGCGAGTCGGTTGGCACACGAACCGAACTTTTTCAGATCTCCCCATCATCGCTCAACCCTCAAGTCTCTGCGAGTGCCAACTGCCTCTCAACACCACCAGTTCCGTCCAAGACCGACCGCACTCGCACCGATAACCGATCAATCCATAACCGATCAGATCAGTCAAGATGGTAAGAGCCCACCGCCGCTTTATTTTACGTGCAGCGCCGTGTGTGTGCATTTGAACAAATTTCGCCCCCCGACCGACGGCAAATCGAAAAATCACGACTTGGGCCCGACCCGCGACGAAAAAAAAAACTTTAGAAAGAGGGGGAAAAGATGGTACGGCGGGGAACTCGGATGGACACGACGGACACGCACGCCGATGCAAACACACACGACGACTGCGCGCACGCGATCATTTGATGATGGAACCATCATGCTGATGGCTTCTCTCCCAGGTTCTCGCCGTTGATCTCCTCAACCCCTCCCCGGCCGCTGAGGCCCGCAAGCACAAGCTCAAGGTACGCCCGCCACTCCGCACCACCACCAACATCACCACCCCTCTTCCATCATCACGACCATGATGTGCTCACACGTTGGACGCAGACCCTTGTGCCTGCTCCCCGCTCCTTCTTCATGGACGTCAAGTGCCCCGGTTGCTTCACCATCACCACCGTCTTCTCCCACGCCCAGACCGTCGTCATCTGCCAGGGATGCACCACCGTCCTGTGCCAGCCTACCGGCGGTAAGGCGAGACTCACTGAGGGCTGCTCCTTCCGCAGAAAGTAAACTGTCCGCGAGGACGCTTTTCTTTCGACAACAAAAAAAGGGCCCTTGGGTGTTTTCAATCTAACGACTTGGACGGTTCATCAACTGGTGGGACATCTCGGATCTGCAAAAGCAAGCGACCTGGGCATGGGCGTATAGACAACCCTGGCACAGGCTCTTAGAGTCTGCTGTCTCCGAACAGAACATAATCAGACACCTTTGCGGATAGAAGATGGAACATCCAAGAATTCCTTTTGACCAAATCAAAAATCACAGGGGCGTTTGGGGTCTCCGGATATCCTTGCATCACACACGCAAAACGAATCGAATGCATTTCTCTTACCAAAAGCACACAAGAACCGCTCTTCGTCGTCGTCTTCCTCTTTCCTAACGTCGTTCTGCGTTTACGCCTGGAGTTTACGTCGTCGTCTTCTCTCTGCATGGGGTGGACAGCTGGAAATGGCTTTTCACATGAGCGTTTGGGGTGGTCTTGCGATGACCTGACCTGGACGTGAGGACGTGGAACCGCTGATTGAGGATCGCTTCATACCCGAGTGCAGTGAGTTCGGAGGAATCAGCACTGCTTGCGAAATTCAATGGTTTCCACAAACGCCGGACCCCCAAAATGTGATTGTCGTGACCGGTGAAATGCAGTGTGGTGTCTTGTGACGGTGACATGCTCGTGTGTCTGAAGTGTTTGCTACATGCGTGCTGCTTGTGTCTTCAAATGTGTTACCTTGATAGATCTGCGACGCTCCACAACCCACCCGCCCACTTGGTTCTCATCTTGATGCATGGTGTCGTGATGAAGACGTGCTCGTGTGCTGTGGCTCGAGTGTCTACCCTTAAGATTTGTTTCATGCCGTCGGCCTTTCCGTACAGCCGGCGTCTTCGGATTCTAGAACTCTGCGTCTTAACTCACCTCAATATCGACCCCGACTGATGAGCATACTCACTGCCACACACCTGGCAGAGAAAAATACTTGGTATGGCTAACACGTTGAAATGGGGTTCCGTGAATCTGCTCTGATTTGTTCTCACAGATCTGGGCTGGTGCATGTCTTACTGATTGATGGCATTGGCCACTTCAGCCCCAAGATAACGTCCGCCATCTTGCTGCAGGTTACACCGCCGGAACGTGGGTGTTGGGGGAGCTTCTCCTCACTGATGCACATTGCCCTCGCTCGCTTGGTGTAAGTTGGCCTCGGTTGTGCCACTCCTGCAAATCAGCGCCGTTTTCACATAGGATCACCCATTGGATGCGTCACCTCGCCGCTGAGTTTACGGGGGTTCTCAAAAAGCAACTCCTGCTCAGTGCACAGAGAGCAGACAACGGAGCCTTGAGAGCATGGAGCACCCGCAACGCTGGCATTCTAAAAAACGATTGCGTTTCGCAAATTGCATTTCGACGGGAGGAAAAAGATGTTTGGACCCCGAAAATAGACGTGCCGGAGTCCATGGAACGGGTGCATCCACTTCCCTGCCTTCCCGGCCGGGCCCAAGCCAGTTTTTTGCTGCTCGCCAACGCCGTCGTCAGCGTCCCCGACGATTGGGTAGCGAGGGAATGGGCGGCGGCGCCAATCACCAGGAGGCCAATGTCAGTTTCAGTGCACATGGTCTCCATAAAACCTGCTAAAGTGGCCCACCTCACGCGCATTCTTCGCGAAAAAACACGCCCAGACGCGATCAGCTGGGTCTAGCGGATCGTCAGCGGGCTCCTGCTTCACCTTGGAAACGCCGCCAGTGACCTGGCACCGCAGAGCCCAGCCCCCGCCGCCGTCAATTCACCTCACTCCACGTCCCCTTCCACTTCAACTCAATCTCCTCCCAACCACTTCTCCCCTCTGCCTCCTTTCAACATCTCCCCTCTTTCTCGCTTCTGCACGTCATACTTCAATCGCTTTCCGATTGTTTCTACGGTTACCGTCGTTTTTTAAATTGTCCGACAAAGAGACACTCTCCACTCTACCAACCACCAAGAACCCGCATCCCACGATCTTAGCTTCCTCAACCCTCCGAGCTTAAACGCTAGGGCCTCGACCTGACGAACGACAACCTCTCGTCATCATCAGCCAAAGCCTCAAGCAAACCGTAACCGTGGCCTGGTCTTTCGACCTCCCCATCCGCTGCACCATGTCGGCCCCAAGAACGAAGCGTCCCTTCGCCGGCGCCTCAGTCGACCCCTCCCAGCGCCAAATCACCTCCTTCTTCACCACCCGCCCCGGCCCAGCGCCCGCCGGCCCTTCACCAGCCGCTCCCGAGAACAGCCTCCCCTCGGACGTCCAGTCCAACCTCATCTCCGTCGGCATGCGCATCCGCAAGTCCGTTCCGGAAGGCTACAAGACGGGCACCTACAGCAGCTTCAAGCTGTGGAGCGACAGCTCTCCTGTCTCTGGCCCCGCCGTCGTCCGGACAACCCCGACAGGCACCACCCCCCGAAAGCAGCGCAGCGCCGCCTCCTCTCAGCGCGAGCTCATGCCCTTCTGCGGCATCAACAAGGTCGGCGGCCTCTCCGCGCAGCCCATGACCGCCGACGAGGACGAGTTCTCCTCCGACAACGACGTCCCGGGCCTCGACGACATGCCGGGCCTGAGCAGCTCCCAGGAGAGCGTCGAGAGCGTCGAGAGCACCGCCAGCGACGGCCGCAGTCGCAAGCGCTTCTTTGACGACGAGGAGGAGAGCGATGCTCCCGTCAAGATGTGGGCCAACCACGATGCCTGGTTGGAGGGGGCCATCAGCCCACGCAGCCTTGCGCCGTCTGGCTGGGCGAATGCGAGAACTCTTGCAGTCCCACGCAAGAGCCGCCGTGGCAAGAATGCGGGACAGGAAAACCTGGTCGTTGCGGCCGACTTTGAGGATGCGGATTTTCTGGTTACCCCTGACACAGATATGAGCGATGCATAGAGGGACGGAGGTTTTTGTTTTACTGTACGATGTTTCCATGGGCGCAGGCGTGTGGAGTTCACTTTCTTTTTGGACGATTCAGGGGATGAATGCATTTGTACTCGGCAAGAGCTGCTTTGAGGACGTCTGCATGGATTTATCTCTTTGCGGGAACAGGACGAACCTGCGGCAGGTTTTGAGGTGGACTGTATTATGTATGCCCAGAATGGGTTCTTGTGCCACCACTGTTTGTATCGATATCATAAGCTAGCATGCTACGTTTGGGGGCTCATCAAGCCACAAATTGTACACATTTTCCACCAGCGATTTACTTCTTCTTTCGTGATATTACATACCTGTGAACGGGTCCCGAAACTCCAGCAGGTCCCGCTGCCCGTAGAACTCACCCGCGACTGTCAAGATCATATTAAGCGTGGCTCGCATGTTCATCCGCGCACGCAGCTGATCCGACATGTCTTCGTCGTCAGACTCGGCCTTCTCTGCTGCCTCCGCAGGCTCGTCTGTCGCCGTCGTATCGAGCTGAGCAAGAAGGCGAGCTCTAGCCTCCTCCAACGTCTCAGCAGGTGCAGACTTCTCCGCCACTTCGCCTTCGTCCACCTCGCCGTCCTCAGAAACGTCCATCGGCTCCGACTTTTGATCGTCGTCGACCTCTCCGTCCTCAACCTCGCCTTGCTCAACAAGCTTGTGGGATTCAGCATCCTCCCCTTGCGACTCCTCAGGCGGAGCCTTAGTCTCGCTATCGGGAGCCGGCGCTTCCCCGTCCCTCTCCTCAACCTCCATCTCCCGCATCACGTCCTCGTCGTCCGAACTCTCGTCAACGGCGTCGTGAACCCCCAAATCCATCCCCTCCTCCTCCAACGCGTCCCTCAACCGCGCCATGTCCGCCAGGCTCTGCATCATCAACACCGCCCGCCTCCCCAGGTCCCGCACCCACCCAATCTCCGCATGGTTCAGCTCCCCGCGCTCCGGCAGCCGCGCCAGCAACGCCCACAGCCACCGACTCGTGCGCTCCCGCAGCTCGTACCCTCTCCTAAGGAACTTGCCGCCCAGAAGCACCCGAATGACCCGCAGCACGCCGTCCTTGTCCATCGACGCCACCTGCGCCGGCATCGGGTCCGACGTCCGCAGGCGCTGCGACCAGACGGAGAAGGTGGAGGACTTGGGGCCGAAGGCGCCGACGAAGTGGCCGTGGCTCTTGGGTAGGGCCGCGACGGCGGAGGCGGGGGGTGTGGCGTGGAGGGTGCCGCGGAGGGAGTGGAAGCGCGCGAGGATGGAGGCGAAGTAGGCCTCGTGCAGGACGGCGGGGTCGTCTTCGTTGGGGTCGAAGTAGCCGTCGCCGCCGTTTTCTTCTTCCCACTCGCCCACTTCGTGCGTGCCTGTGTCGTTCGCCTCCTCCCAATTTGCTGGGCGGGCCGTATATGCGCCGTCGTGGTAGTATCCCCTGAAATCGCCCTGGCCGGAGGTGTAAATCTCGCGGTCCTCCTCTACGTCTTCTCCCTCTTCAGGCTCTTCCTCTCCGTCTTGGGTATTCTGGAGTTCCTTGGGCAGTTGTGGTCCGATCGGGATCTTGGGTGCGACGAGGAGGTGCGGGATTCCGTTCGCTTGCGTCCTATATACTCACCATCAGCATTCGGGACGCTAACTTTATACACGCAAGTTCAGCACGGGGCAGAACTTTGAGCAGAGATAATGGAAAGCGACTCACCTTACGGACTTGAGATACGCCATCGCATCTCCGTCGTCTTCAAAGTCGAGCTCAGGGTCGACGGGGACGGTCGTCGCGCTCTCGGTGGCCGAGAAGACGTATTTCTGGCCCCATGTCGGATCAATGTGGGCGTTCTGGTGTTCGCGAGGCTTCTTGCTGCGTTTGGGGGCCCGGTCTGCGTCGGCGTCTGACGTGTCGCGGGATCGTTTGGAAGCCATTGTGGCCGGGGTGGCAGGTAGTGAACGAGGGGACGTCTCTTGGGAGTTGAAGTAGCGAAATTTCGTGATCGGGAGCTCAGGTCAGTGACGATGAAATGGCTAGCGCGTCCACGTCCCAGGAACTTTTTAGTGGGGTAATTTGGCCTTATTTAGTGGGTCCATGGCCGTTGAGGCCGCTCACCGAGTCCGTTTGACTTCACCGGCGCCGCTCCCAGCTCCGACAGCGGTTTACAAGTCACCACTGATGCTGGAAGAATACAAAGTTTCTCTAATTATCCTTGTCTGTCTTCGGCTCAGCTATGAATCTATTCTGACCCGTGTGAGTGTGCTGACTGATGCCAAGGATCATTCGGACGAGCTTCATAGTGTAACAGGCTAGGCCTGTCACATGGGATGCTCTCGGCTATGTTCGGCACTGAGTAAGACATCAAGGGATAGGATATCAAGGGATAGGACATCAGGGTCGAAGATAAAAGGACATGTAGATGCAGCTGAGATGAACAAGAA